GTTTTGGCGCGATGACCTGCAATAACTGGTATATGTTCAGAGAGCATGTCATGCCACGCTGGAGTATTCTGTCTAGGGAATTACGCTTCAGTGTTCCTATGGTCTTATTTCTCACTAGGCACAGTGGTCTCGGAAATTATACATTCAAACACCTTCCAATACACTGTAGATTCTTGGTTGACACTGTTGACAGTAGTTGGTCGATAGACAAATTGTTGTCGCATTTTTGACAGTTTGTCAACGTCAAGGACCGAGGAGAGTACTGTATCTGTACGTCGTTTAAATCTGCAGCATATTTTTCGATAATAACAATAATTTAGTGGATTTGTTGCGTCTATTTTTAAGACACTTCCATTGATTTGCAGAGATGGTTACGATGGCCGAACCCCTTACTTTAGCAAATGGTAAATTAATTTTTATAGAATCAACCTGCGATCGAATAACGAATGTACTGATATCAATACTCTTATTTCCAGATGTTAAAAGATCTATTGAATTACTGGATAAATTGCAAAAAGGTAACTAAATGTATTTTTCTAACAACAATGCACAACAGGGTAGAATTAAGTGTGTTTAAATATTCTTGTAAAAATTTTATTCTTTATGTAGATCCTCATAATGCTATTAGTTCAATTTATTTTTTTATATAGCTCATGTACGTGCTTGTACTTTGTACTTCAAGAATTTATTTAATAATAGGAATTCATACATATATATACGAATATTGATTAAATTAATTTTTCTAGGTGGTGAAGTACCTGCAACTAAATTAGCTGCTTTGCAGAAAGTTTTGCAGAGTGATTTCCTTAGTGCTGTACGAGAAGTGTATGAACATGTATATGAGACTGTAGACATTCAAGTACGAGATATTTACATACCCATATATTGTAAATTATGAAATCTATGTCAGTATTAATAATTGCAGGGATCTCAGGATGTTCGTGCATCGGCTACTGCAAAAGCAACAGTCGCAGCTTTTGCAGCTAGTGAGGGCCACGCACATCCGCGAGTGGTGGAACTACCGAAAACTGAGGAAGGTCTTGGTTTTAACGTAATGGGAGGCAAGGAACAAAATTCACCGATTTATATTTCACGAATTATTCCTGGAGGGGTTGCCGATCGTCACGGTGGCTTGAAACGGGGTGATCAGTTATTATCTGTTAACGGAGTGGTAAGATTCTATTTTCTTAAGCACAAAATCTTTTCCAGCTCTCGTCTCGACTTCTCAATGATTATTTATTGGTGTTTCAGTGCGTGGAAGGCGAGAATCATGAGAAAGCAGTAGAATTGCTGAAGCAAGCACAGAATTCTGTGAAGCTGGTCGTACGTTACACTCCGCGAGTTTTAGAAGAAATGGAATTACGCTTTGACAAGCAAAGGGCAGCACGTAGGCGTCAACATATGCAATAAAATCGAACGTTGTTACATTTAATCGTCCCCTTCCAATGAACAAATCATATGCATATTGATATCATCGTAGTCCTTTTCATTGTCTGTATATTATAAGAATTCAAATCAAATTACGATTATGGAAATTACTCCTGCTTTTATCTTTTAAACATATTGTATGAATGTTATATAGTTTTAAGAAATAAAATTGTTCTCTTTCTTCTCCTACTTTGCGTACGTTCATTTAGAGCCTTGAACATGGAAAATACAAAAAGAAAGTTTAAGTAATAACAAAATAAATGAGTAGTCAATTTTTAAAATATTTTTCGAGTGCAATCGAATCGAGTGAAGATAGTACAAGCTACGCACCTGGCTGCGATACATACTATCACAATATCAAATCACTCGCGCATAAAAAGTAGCAGGAAAAATATATGCATCTGTATGCGCACGTACACAGTTGCACACTGACTTATACCACTGGTTTATCAAGTCAACCAGTGCCATCATGAAGGTGATAGGTAATTAAAAACTGTTGGACTTTAAACTTAATTTAATTTTGTTGACTCAGTACGAGAAAGGCATTTATATAAAGGTCCGAGTTCATCGGAGAATCTCAGTTAGTGGTCCCCTTTGAACGGAATTTTAGTTTCGACACAATGAGAGCACCGGAACAATTACGTTTCGACGGTCGCGTAGTTATCGTAACGGGAGCTGGAGCAGGTAATTACTTATTTTCTCTGATCAGTATTTCGATATGAAATTGAATGATTGATCTTAGGTTTGGGCCGTGCATACGCCCTGCTATTTGCTTCGAGAGGTGCCAGCGTTGTAGTAAACGATTTAGGTGCAAGTAGACACGGTGATGGGAGCAGCAAAGTGGCAGATACAGTTGTTAATGAAATTATTAAGAATGGTAAGAATATTTCTTATTTACTGTGTTATGCATTCTATTTGAATCGACATGAGTTTGTTTTATGAAATATTTATTACTACACATAATCGCGTCCAGTTGCATATCACGATTCTTATCAACGGTATTTGCAAAACATTCGTGTACTATAAATAAAATTCTTATAATTTCAATCCATCCACTTATTTTAACCATTGCTGATAAAAGCAGTTCAATATTATAATGAATTATTATTGAATTTTTTAAAATAATTTTATAGGTGGAAAAGCAGTGGCTAATTACGATTCCGTTATTGATGGAGCAAAGATTGTCAAAACAGCTATTGATGCATTTGGAAGGGTAGATGTGGTTGTTAATAATGCTGGGATCTTAAGAGATAAATCTTTTAGCAAGATGTCAGAAACCGATTGGGGTATTTCCAAATATTACTGCTATATTTTCTTTAGAAGATCTTCAATTACATTCGTTTACAATTAATTCCAGATTTGATACACAACATTCATCTGAAAGCTGCTTTTAAAGTAACTCAGGCAGCCTGGCCATATTTCCTTAAACAAAAATATGGCAGAGTCATTGTGACATCAAGCAATAGCGGATTGTATGGAAACTTTGGTCAAGCTAATTACAGTTCAGCAAAAATGGGCCTTGTTGGGTTGGCCAGTACATTAGCTATCGAAGGCGCACAGAAGAACGTACACACTAACGTGATAGTGCCAACAGCCGCCTCTCGTTTAACAGAAGACATTTTACCACCAGGTACTTGATACAACGTGCTATGTTAATTTCATGTTAATGTAAATGATTCATTGATTCTGTTTTACAGACTTTTTTGAGCAATTAAAACCTGAGTTAATAGCGCCTGTCGTTGCCTGGTTGTGTCATGAGAAATGTATGGAGAACGGCTCTATCATCGAATCTGCATTAGGATGGGCAGGCAAATGTGAGTACATTAAATCAAAAGAATAAGAGTACTAAGTACTCCGTTTTCTTCTCTTTCAGGCCATTTAATTCGTTCGTCAGGAGCAATATTGCGACAAGATTTGTCAAGTAACGTCACTCCCGAAGTTGTTGAAGACAAATGGTCAGCCATCACCGATATGTCATCCGCTAAACACTTTGATTCCATCGGGGTATGTATATAAAGGCATTATTATTTAAAGAGAAGGTTAATGGCATACTTTTTGCAGGAAGTAACTGGACAGTTCATGGAAATAGCTCAAAAAATAAACAGTGGCAATTCCGAGAAATCACAGTCACAGGTAACTAAGACCATTATCCTGATGATTGATGTCACAATTAATGATAATACGGTTTTTTTTAGAGTACCAATGTCTACAAGCACACTTACAATAGTCGGGACACTATTATGTATGCATTAGGAGGTATAATTGCACTACTGTATATTTTATTTGCTCATAAATTACAGTCGTAATTAAGTACTCAATAACTTATGTTGTAGTTGGTGCCTCTGTCCAGATACCCACTGATTTTCGTTACCTGTACGAGAACGACAGCAATTTTGCTGTAATGCCTATATTTTATGCAACGCATGCTCCAGTATACTGCATGGCTTCTAGTTCTATGTTTGAAGAAAAGTTTCCTGACTTTCAACTAGATCCAACAAAGGTAATTTTCTTAATACAGTTTAAAATTTATGTGTATACCATTGTTATGGATTTTTCTTAAATGTAGATATTGCATGGGGAGCAATATATGGAAGTGTATAAACAATTACCAACGGAAGCTACAGTTGAAACACGATTTCAAGTTCTGGATGTATTAGATAAGGGGAAGGGTGTTGTATTTGAAATACAACGTACGTAAATACATTTTTACAGATAGTATATCTTTTGTACCTGAACTCATACATTTTTATTTATTTCTACAGATGAAACGTTTGATTCTAATACTGGGGAGAAATTAGCTAAAGGACAGATGACTATATTTGTAGTAGGAGTAAGTGGTTTTCAAGGAAAACGGACATCTCCGCACAGTATACCATTCGTTGATCCTCCAAATCGAAAACCAGATGCATCAGTCACGCAACAGACGAATTACGATCAAGTAAATTAAAGATGAACGTAGTTAAAAATTATCGACATTGGGTTCACAAATTAAAATTTCGTTCGTCGACTTGTAGGCTGCTCTATACAGGTTGAGCGGAGATACCAATCCATTGCATATCGATTCGAACATAGCCGCGATGGCTGGCTTTCAAAGACCAATCCTACATGGATTATCTTCCCTTGGATTTTCTGTTCGCCACATACTTCAAACTTACGCCGACGGCGACCCGAGTTTATTTAAAGCCGTTAAGGTAAGTTTACTTACTTTTTGTGTAGACATTTACTTTCGTATTGCGATAGCTTAAATATACAAATGACCATTGCAGTGTGTTACGAAGTGTTTCATATCTATTTACGAGATGTAATTATTGCATGATATAAACAGGAAAATTTTTTTTTCAAATGTTTAATGAATGTTGCAGACTCGTTTTGCAAAACCTACATTCCCCGGACAAACATTACGAACAGATATGTGGCAAGAGGGAAAGAGGATACATTTCCAAACGTATGTGGTGGAAACGAATACACCTATCTTAACAGGTCAATTTATAAAAATTGATAACAATTAATGATACAATTGTTTGAAATATAATTATTAAGAAATGTTTTGAATTTTTTTCATCAGGCGGTTATGTCGATTTGAAAGAAACAGTATCTAAGCAACCAGTTGCAAATCCCGTTTCTGGTAAATCTTTGGAAAGTGATGCAGTATTTAAAATGATTGAAGAGTACGTAAGGACGAATCCAGAACAGGTGAAGAAAATAAATGCTGTATTCCTCTATCATATTTTAGTGCAAGCAAAACCACAAGCAGTGTGGAGTAAGTACGTCTGTTCATATTAAAATTGTCTGGATTTGTTGTTAATCATTATATATTTCTGTTCAAAAGCTTTGGATTTAAAAAAGGCTGAGGTATACAGAGGAGAACCGAAATCAGGTAAAGCAGATGCAACACTGACCCTCGAAGATGCAGACATGATTCAAATGGTAAATTTTTTAACATCAATTCTTATTATTGAAATACTCCGATTGGTTTATTATTTAATTTGTTTGCAGGCTTTGGGTAAATTGAATCCACAAATGGCATTCATGAGAGGGAAGTTAAAGATCACTGGAAATATCATGCTGACACAGAAATTAAAATCACTCATAGATGCTGGCAGAGCAAAATTGTAATTCAATTACATTTGTTATTATATTGGTATAAAGGTATATAATTGTTGTTTATACATTAATATTTTTGTATTTTTTTAATCACTATGTAACTGATTTATCAACTACGCGGTTGGGTATGAAATACATATACACATGTTATATAAATATACATTGTTTTTCATTAAAAACTTATAAATAAAAAATAAATATACATGCATCAGTCTTTTATAAAAATACTATTAGTTGAAATATGATTATTACTCTAAATGACTACTGAACATAGACTTCGATATTCGATAGATTTCTCAGTATCACTTCCTATGCTTTCTCAATCTTTGTTTTATCGGACTTCTAATCGTTTATCGAAATTTAGCTACTGAACATTTTCAAAAACTATTTCGATATCACTTTCTGAATTAGATTTAGAATTTTTAGATGATTTTGATTTCTTTGCTTCTTCATTGCTCTCATTTTTTCGCACTTTCTTTACAATAAATTCAGAACTATAAGCAGTAGCTACATCTGACGTGTCTAGACACATCAGTTGTTTATTGGCAACTCTACCGCCATTTAAAAATACAGAGGCATCCTTTCTCCTCCACATTTTTGAGGTGCGTGGTATAAATTGTGTACATTTTCCTTCGAACTGAAAATCTTTCATATCCACACATTCAATTTCTCCTTTCAAAAACTGCAAATATTTTTTTAATGATGTAAAAAAATGTAATTTATCTTCAAGTCTTGGGAAGTTTGCGCAGCGAGCACTGCTCGAAGGCACGACCCAAACTGCACTTTCTCCAATACATTCTCTTTGTAGACCAAACTTAAAAGCACCTGATTTAGTACTACATGCATCGTAAATGCATTTGCCGTTAAATACGGCAATTTTTGGCTTCCAATACATTAATTTCTCTTCTACACATTTCATACCCTCTTTTAATTCTGCAGATTTTAGATCTGCAGAAGATCTTGTCGGTCTGTGCACGACATTGGTCAAGCCAATTCCATATTCCAGAAGCTTGTGATCTTCTTCATATTTTAGAAGATATGGCGTCAAGCCCGACTTATGCAGGAGCTTGTAAAAATGATTACATGCACCAGCGTAATATTTACCGCGATGTGCTGCAGTCAAACTCGGATTGATTCCAATAAATACTATGTCTAAATTCATTTGAAGGTAGTCCTCAAGAGTACAATTCTTTTGCACTTCTTCTTCTGTTAATCCATCGAATCGATTGATTATCTTTTTCGATTTTTCAATCTTCTTTTCCACTCGTGTCTTCTTCATTAATTTGCTGAGATCTATTGGAGTCATCATTCTGCGCCAGATCATTACTATTAATCACAAAAATACTATTATATTATTTCAATTGTTTAATTTAAACATACTACCTGCAGCAGTTGTAAGACAAGACACGTTTCCTCGTTCTTCTCGATGTTACGAGTTACATCGAGGTTAAACAGCTATAATATACATTTAAACGATTATTTTGTATATTATACATATAAATCACTCGTTCAAAGAAAGTTCAGTCGAACTATCGCCTATCTTTTAATCTTCAGTCTTCAGATACATAGAATGATTTAAATCGACGCCGGTATTGAAGTAGCCTAATGTAAACATGCACTTTCAAAATGAATTTTTGCGTTCAAATTGAATGAGTACTAAAACGAATGTTTATAATTTAGAAATTCATATTAAAACTCTAATTAATCGTCAGTAGCGATTTAGTAATTCGGTGTTTAAACTTGCTGAAGGAGAAAGAAAAAGCATAACATGCAATATGCCACGGCTAACACTGCTAACTGCTATGCTACTTATATAGCATCTTCGTTCATCCTTTCACTCAGGCGCACCGTAGTCCCTCCTTTTTCTTACTGCTGTTCCCCGCACTCTATTTTATTTAAAAATCCTATTTATAAATCAGTTTCCCTACTATACTCATGAATTAATTTATAAACGAATTGGATTAATTTATTAATTTATACCATTTATACATTTTTGTAGAATTTGCATAATTGTCAATTTTATTTGGGATCCTTGTTTGCCAATAAATTGAATGCTGGACATCGATATATATCAGTCATTAAAGTAATGAAATATTTTCGATAAATTCAACAAACATCGAATTTCTCTGCTTGCTATCCGAAAGTACACATTTTTGGTGCACAGCGGTAGGAGCGTGTATGAACGGTATGCGTATTTTTTACGATGTGATAAATGAAAATAAGCGAAATAGTTTATTGAATAGACGCGGCTCCCGATAGGAACGGATACGCTCCCTATCGTATGATCATGGTGCTGTAGCACGAGCACATAATTAAGCAGTGTATTTGCACAGCGTATCTGCTAATCCAGCTACCGGAACTCGCGATCGCGTCCAAATCGTGTTGGTCTTCTGGTCTAGTGAACATACTCCACATTTAAACACAACACAGCTTGCCGCAGTACACCTATGGGATTTGCAAGGCATTCCCGCTCATCATAAACGTGCAGCAAAAACCAGCGCCGTTCTTTGTCCTTAGGATTTCCCTGCGTCCTCACAGGATCTCTAATTCAACTTTAAAGCTTCACGTTATGGGTAAAAGAATGTATCAGTCTTTTATAAAAATACTATTAGTTGAAATATGATTATTACTCTAAATGACTACTGAACATAGACTTCGATATTCGATAGATTTCTCAGTATCACTTCCTATGCTTTCTCAATCTTTGTTTTATCGGACTTCTAATCGTTTATCGAAATTTAGCTACTGAACATTTTCAAAAACTATTTCGATATCACTTTCTGAATTAGATTTAGAATTTTTAGATGATTTTGATTTCTTTGCTTCTTCATTGCTCTCATTTTTTCGCACTTTCTTTACAATAAATTCAGAACTATAAGCAGTAGCTACATCTGACGTGTCTAGACACATCAGTTGTTTATTGGCAACTCTACCGCCATTTAAAAATACAGAGGCATCCTTTCTCCTCCACATTTTTGAGGTGCGTGGTATAAATTGTGTACATTTTCCTTCGAACTGAAAATCTTTCATATCCACACATTCAATTTCTCCTTTCAAAAACTGCAAATATTTTTTTAATGATGTAAAAAAATGTAATTTATCTTCAAGTCTTGGGAAGTTTGCGCAGCGAGCACTGCTCGAAGGCACGACCCAAACTGCACTTTCTCCAATACATTCTCTTTGTAGACCAAACTTAAAAGCACCTGATTTAGTACTACATGCATCGTAAATGCATTTGCCGTTAAATACGGCAATTTTTGGCTTCCAATACATTAATTTCTCTTCTACACATTTCATACCCTCTTTTAATTCTGCAGATTTTAGATCTGCAGAAGATCTTGTCGGTCTGTGCACGACATTGGTCAAGCCAATTCCATATTCCAGAAGCTTGTGATCTTCTTCATATTTTAGAAGATATGGCGTCAAGCCCGACTTATGCAGGAGCTTGTAAAAATGATTACATGCACCAGCGTAATATTTACCGCGATGTGCTGCAGTCAAACTCGGATTGATTCCAATAAATACTATGTCTAAATTCATTTGAAGGTAGTCCTCAAGAGTACAATTCTTTTGCACTTCTTCTTCTGTTAATCCATCGAATCGATTGATTATCTTTTTCGATTTTTCAATCTTCTTTTCCACTCGTGTCTTCTTCATTAATTTGCTGAGATCTATTGGAGTCATCATTCTGCGCCAGATCATTACTATTAATCACAAAAATACTATTATATTATTTCAATTGTTTAATTTAAACATACTACCTGCAGCAGTTGTAAGACAAGACACGTTTCCTCGTTCTTCTCGATGTTACGAGTTACATCGAGGTTAAACAGCTATAATATACATTTAAACGATTATTTTGTATATTATACATATAAATCACTCGTTCAAAGAAAGTTCAGTCGAACTATCGCCTATCTTTTAATCTTCAGTCTTCAGATACATAGAATGATTTAAATCGACGCCGGTATTGAAGTAGCTTAATGTAAACATGCACTTTCAAAATGAATTTTTGCGTTCAAATTGAATGAGTACTAAAACGAATGTTTATAATTTAAAAATTCATATTAAAACTTTAATTAATCGTCAGTAGCGATTTAGTAATTCGGTGTTTAAACTTGCTGAAGGAGAAAGAAAAAGCATAACATGCAATATGCCACGGCTAACACTGCTAACTGCTATGCTACTTATATAGCATCTTCGTTCATCCTTTCACTCAGGCGCACCGTAGTCCCTCCTTTTTCTTACTGCTATTCCCCGCACTCTATTTTATTTAAAAATCCTATTTATAAATCAGTTTCCCTACTATACTCATGAATTAATTTATAAACGAATTGGATTAATTTATTAATTTATACCATTTATACATTTTTGTAGAATTTGCATAATTGTCAATTTTATTTGGGATCCTTGTTTGCCAATAAATTGAATGCTGGACATCGATATATATCAGTCATTAAAGTAATGAAATATTTTCGATAAATTCAACAAACATCGAATTTCTCTGCTTGCTATCCGAAAGTACACATTTTTGGTGCACAGCGGTAGGAGCGTGTATGAACGGTATGCGTATTTTTTACGATGTGATAAATGAAAATAAGCGAAATAGTTTATTGAATAGACGCGGCTCCCGATAGGAACGGATACGCTCCCTATCGTATGATCATGGTGCTGTAGCACGAGCACATAATTAAGCAGTGTATTTGCACAGCGTATCTGCTAATCCAGCTACCGGAACTCGCGATCGCGTCCAAATCGTGTTGGTCTTCTGGTCTAGTGAACATACTCCACATTTAAACACAACACAGCTTGCCGCAGTACACCTATGGGATTTGCAAGGCATTCCCGCTCATCATAAACGTGCAGCAAAAACCAGCGCCGTTCTTTGTCCTTAGGATTTCCCTGCGTCCTCACAGGATCTCTAATTCAACTTTAAAGCTTCACGTTATGGGTAAAAGAATGTATCTTAATATCTCAGACTGATAAACGCAGCGTCCCTCATTTTTTTTTTTTTTTTTAAGTCAAGCGGAGAATTAAGGGAAGAGAGTTGTGCATTTGGGAGATCGCCGGCTCAGTTAACGGTGCTATCGGTAATCATGCTAAACCGTAACGCTGGTGTTCAGTAGAGGAGATACGTTTGAACCGTAATCTGAACACTGCATCGGCGCGTGTATCAATTACGTTTGTCGTAAGCCGTGCTAATCAAGCGCAGTTGGTTTGGATAGCGCTGTACAACGTAGATAATGCAAGGAAACGGCGAAGATACGTTGACTCCATTGTTCAGCCAGCTTCTACAACGAGTGACTAATTACCGTGCTCACGGTTCCCCAGGCGTTATTGTTTCTCCAAGGAATGCGCGCCAGTTCCCTCGTTCGAAGAAGCCCTGCGATGAGAAGAAACCATAGAAAATTCGAACTAGAAGAAAAATAAAGGAAACGACGGAAGGCAGAAAGCTTAAAAGACTAAATTGTATTGCAGTTTCTGCTACGTCTCTTTTATTGTACCATCTTTAATAAAAACGTTTGAGTAAAGTAAATCATTGATACTCGTCACCTATCTTAATATATTATTAATTACAGAGAAAAATTCTTATAGAATCGTCGCAATGTCTTAGCAATCTTAAATTAGACTCATCGCATCGATAGATTTTCCATCTTACCTTTTTTTCCTCCTGTCCATTGAGTTTATTGCGGCTATTTTTCTCTTCACTCGTTCCTCCGGTGATTTTGCAATTTTGTTCGCCTTATCGATTCCTCCCTCGTTCTACCCGCTTTCACCCCCTTGCTCCCTTTTAAACGTCGCGTCTTCTTCGTCGTCACATCTTCATTCTCCATTTCGTTCGCTCCCTCGCTTTCATCGCCGGCGCCGTTCCGTGCGACACGTTCGAATGCACGTGGCACCGGTAGCTAGCTTTTCGACTAATTAAATTACCTTCGTTCGCGAGCACGACGCAGGAACAACAGGAAATTCCCTCTTCCTTCCTTCGTTCACCCGAACACGGTCCTCCCGTCTCCGCTTCCGTCTTCGTCGGCCCCGCAATTGCGGTGTCCCGTTCTCCGTCACGGATCTTTCCTGACTGGAACGGAATTATGATCCAAGAATTATTATCATCAATTGGTAGCCGCCAAGCTCGTGTCGCGAACGTGTCCTGCGAATTTCCCACCCCCTACGGCGATATCACGAAGGTGAGTCGTACCTACGTGGAATGTTAATTCGCGCTAGTCTACAAGAGACAATTGCTACAAAACGCTGACGAGTTTCGTTGGGTCGATGAGCGATCACTTTTCGTGCGCCTCGCTCGAATTCCAATTTGTAAAATAATTTCTATTTAAAATGATTTATAATTATCAAACGTTTGAATGTAAGTTGGAGATCATTACTAGAGAGAGGAATTCATATGGTAGCCAGTATCGTTTCGCGAATATCAACCCGTAAATCAGCTTGGAGAGCTGATGGCTCGTTAGCGTAATAGGATTTTCCGAGGTTGACCCCAAGCTCGCCGATTTTTCCCATAATCGTTCCATCTTCTCGGGAGCGTGTGCGTCGTTGAGCACGCGCCAGGATCTGCTCGTTTGCGGCGCGGTGCGTGAAGAGAACCGGAAACCCGCGGTTTTGCGACGAACGCGCATCGTCCCGCAAGCCGGTATACGCGTGCAATAATTCACTGGTCCGTAATAACGAGTTGCCAACTGGCTAATGAATAACCGGTGAAAATTAAACAGCTCGCAAATTGAGTTCCGAGTTTCGCTCGCGCAGATCTGCGAAACAACGGCCCGCGATACTCAACCGCACCCACGATTCAGCCTAATCTAATTGCGACCGGTTACATGGGCGAAGAGGTGTTCGTCGTCGAGAAAAAGCTGCATGAAATGATTTGAGCAATTTTTCTGAAACGCGATCGAACAGTGTTACATAGTTCGGCTCTGTATTTAAAGGAATTTGTTCCCGACGGCTCTTTCAAAAGTGCTCGAACATATTGCTCGGACATGAGGTGCTTTTATTGATATTGCCAGGTACCCGAAGTTTCTAGGAAATTACATGTCAAGCGTCCCTCTGTCGATGTGTCTATGAGTTTAAGCCCGGCGAACGTTTATAACATGTGTCACGCAATCTCCCTATCGCCACCCTTTTCGCTCGGGCACACGCACACAGGGGCACAGGCACACACGCGCCGGAGGGTCGGGAAACAAAAGAGCCACGGAGGCGAGCAATGCCTCGTCGGAGGTCGCGAAAATTGACAAGAACATTAGCCGGTGAAAATTCCTCCACCAGATTTAATTATTACATTTACGGTCATTACGCTTTTATCGCGTAATTACGCTCAGATACCTAGGATAAGCATCGAGGGAAAGTTATTCGCCGAGCCGCTCTTCCTGCCTTTAGTAATTAAATATTGATCTACAGTGGCCGGCAAAAGTATTCGACCGTTCAACGGACCGTCGCAACTATGCTCGTTAGTAGAAATTTCATTAGCGCCCCAATAAAACATCTCGCGTACATTTAAAAAAATTTGATAAGCAATCCGAAAAATGGATGTGTTTACAAAAATGTTGTGGCGTTGAAAGAATTCTACGAGGGACTATACTTTATAACGACTTAAATTTAATCAGAATGGAATTGTTTTTACTCCCCGGTACAATCTTTAATTATAGAACAGGATTCTATCCAGAATAATCGTTAATTAACCGTATCGACATTAAAATGCTTAATAGCAGCGCGCGTAATTACTAATCCTAATATCGATCTCCCGGATTGTTCGTTGAACAGGTTCATTTATCGATCAGCGGCGAGTAACGAAGGCATGACAATTTAATTAAAATTACATAAGCATTATATTGTAATGGACACGAAGCAGGTGCGTTGCGGTCCACTGTTAATTGAACATTGTGTATTACGCACTTCATGATGCACGCAGGCTATCGTCGAGAAGCCCTCGCCCCTTAAACCAGCCTCCGTAACCGTAACATTTTAACGACTCCTTCCACAGGGAAAGCTTCTAGATTTACCCATCATTAGAACGTAAATAGTGAAACTTCGATCATACCGAAATTGTTAAACTGCCTTTAAAAATTCTACGGGACAAACGTTTCACCAATGATGTTCGCCACTGTTCCTGTATCGGTCGAATAATATTATCGTAAATGTACTAATCTCGGTGTACAACTATCGATGCAGCGTCTATTAATGAACGTCCTAAATCGTAAGACGATTAAGGTGACAGACCGTGTCTAATCCGACCACATTAAGTTTATCGGAAATTGCAACGCTACGCTGCATGTCGATTCCAATGAAGCCTATTAGTCAACAGGCCAATTATATCGACTCTCCGTCAAATAAACGATACCTATGTACTTTCCAGTCACCGAGAGATATTATCCTCGCGCGTGATATCTGTAATCATCTAACATTTTTATAGGAAAGAGATTTGTCCGTGATTAGTCGAAGGGGAATTGGCTCCCTTCGAATGATTAATGATACGCGGTTCGACTGTAGTTTACTGGAAATGGTCTATCGATGATGTATAACGTGTTATACAGTCTTGTTTGTGCCATCAGTTTATAGGAGAGGCAGTAAGATAACAGATGCCATTGGCACGTCATACAAGCTCATGTAGCGGAACGATGCACACGAATCGTACCTGTACGTCAGCTAAAATATTTACAGGATATAATGTGCTTTGAACACGTCGTCATACGACCACGTTAGGTACACGGTGCAGTCAAAATCTGTGATCCACCGGTTTAAGTAACCCGAATCGATTTTAGCGAATCTGATTGTCCAATTGGCTCGAACTTATTCATTAATTCAATATAGGGACGTGTTTAATTAAGGTAGCCAAACCGAACCTAATTGCTCCCCTAAACTCGATTACGTATTGAATTAGACCTGGTCCCTATTGATGGATTTCGGTTCTGTTCATCGTAAACATAATATTGAATATTTTAACGGATGTAATATGAATATAACATCGACGCTCTGTCCGCAGACTATCGCCGATCGATGAACTATGAATAATTAGCTGCGTGCATACGTACGTATTAAAATGGCCGAGATTTTTGCCATTTACATCGTTGCCGGTATTACACCTATGATCGAATCTCGCCTAGGGCGAGCCTTGCCAGGATAATTATTCGCGATCCGCTGATAACTGTTAAAATAGGAAACACGGACGACCCATGGGCAAATTGCTATACTATCGACAATATGGGAAACGTTGATTAGAATTTTCGGTGTTTGCCTAACTTTCAAATATTTCAGTGAATATTGGTGTCGGAAAAATGACGTCAAGACGAATTATCTGACGTCAATATTACGACGTTCTTTAATTAAGTCGACGTGGTATCGTTTTTTTGAATCGATTAAGGGGCGAAAATGAAGAAAGCGAGGCGGAAATGGGAATTACTCGGTACCGGTACGGAGCCAATGAAGGAAACTAGCGGCTCACGGAAGGGATTTGATTGAACAAACATTAGAAAGAGCATACCGGGTCAGGGAGCACTTCCCTTCGAGCATACAGCCGCCCCGACAGGTTCGAGGGGATGCCTGAAGGCGGTGTTTGCGCCCCCGTGGCAAGCCTCGCTACCCTCGGTAGCTTCTGCAGCTCGAGACATAAGTGCAACTCGATTTGCATATTTAACTCAACGAGCGTGCTTGAATCTCCTCTCTCTCTCGCCTCCGTTCCTTTAACATACTTCGCCGTCCACGTCCTTCCTGCCTGGGATCCTTCGCTCGTCCCACTCGCTCTCTTGGCACGCAGCACCGGCCGGATTCGATTTACTTGCAATCATGCCTGCGGATTAATTAGTCCGTCCTGACATGAACGCATACGAAGCAGATCGCGAGTACGAATGAGAGTCGCTTTCCTAGTCGACTTCGTTCGATGACGAGCGTCGGTCGTTCGCCGCAGGGAACAAATCATCGCGCATCGAAAGATAGAACACTATTACAAAGCAGTGGATCAATCTTTCCAAGTTAAACGTAATCTTCGCGAAGTTTCTAAGCCCCGCGCGTTGAACTTGTTCAATCCTTATTGGAATTCATCGCGTATCCTCGATACCGCAGAGAAGTTTGAAATCTTGACGAGGTGACGCGGATCGTTACAAAGCAAACAGAGATTACTCTTTGGGAGGAGGTTCGGTTACATGTCTGCGCACAAAACGTGCGACGTTCATAATTTTCTTTGACTACGCTCGGCGGCGGCCCCGTTCGTTGCCACTTCGCTAATGAAACGGAGGAGCGGTGGCTAATGAGCCTAATGAGCGAGCTCTGTTGAAGTGTGTGCTTATCGTCTTACTTGCGCCCCTATGGGGGTCGCCCGCGGGTAAAATAGTCATGCGTGGAGCACAAAGAAATGCCCTCGATTTTTCACGACTAACCTGGTACCTTAATTATTATAGATAATACAATCTCGCTGAGAAAATTGTCGAGGCGCAGAAGAAGGCTGACCTGCGTGATGTACGATTGGGATCTACAATTAACCTGGCTGTATTTTGGTAGCTCACTACGGGCATTTACAGTTTTCATCAATCTTTGAACGCTATCGAGGGTCTAACATGAAAAATGGTATGTTTCTTGGAGCCGACACGAGTGGTGTTGCGCGCACGTGGCAAGTTTGCGGATAAAAGCTTTTTATCAATGACTTCTAAGTAGCCTTTTCTCGGAAACGGATTTGACTCGGAGCGAGGAGTGGCCTCGGCGGAGATGGATCTTTCGTGAAACGTGTACGCGGCCACTACGGGGGAAGACGTGAATTAAGACCGAAGGGTAAGGAGATTAGAAAAGGTGCCAGTAGCAAGCCGGGACCATTTGTCAAAAGCTCGCAAATTCGTTTCGGACGACGTAAACATAGTCCGAAATGTGTTCGAAAGTCGTCGGCGATCCCGTTCCTCGCAAGCAGGAAAATAAATAGCGTGTAACATACGCGAAACAAGCGAGTGTAACGACCGTACGAAAAACAAACCGAACGCCGCCGGGGGGATGCAGAAGCGAGAGCAAATGAAGTGGAAGAAAAAGAAAAATACGATTGTCCACGCATGCATACCGGATAAAAAATCAATTAGCGTTACGTTTAATACTTGCCAACGGTTCGATTTTGAGGAACAATAGTGTGACGATTCCGGGTATCACGTGGAAAAAAATGTTTTAATTGACGATAGAAAATTTTTTTTCAGCGTTTTTTAGCGGTAACGCGAAAACGAAGTCGATAATTAAAACGGTCGTAAATTGTCGCCGATCCCTTTCATGCAATTAATCGGTGACATTCGCTAATAATGTGTTATAGTTCATTGCAATAAAATCGTATTTACTCGGTGGAATTAAATCGATTTATGAGAGAAAATCCGTTCAAAATGTTTCTGGTACATAGCACCGGACTCCTTATTATTTATGGCATTGCATTACACTGTATCACTGTCCCAGCAATTAATTGCCTCGTTTCTGGTTTGAAATTTCCCTGTTAAACGCACCTTTCTAATAAGCTCGCTTGATATTAGAGAAACCTCGTCGATTCACTCTTCGATGCAGTGTTCCTTGTTCTCTCTACTGAAAACAGGGAAAATCCACGAGAGTCGTTTCTGTTCCTCCATTGCCTGCTTATTTACCTATGAAACTGGGTAAACTGAACGAGATTTATGCTGCACAAGGAAGATATTAATTTCATTGAAGGGAAACCTAAATTGATGGGACCGCATCGTACTAAAATCCGGTTTAAAGCGCATGTAACCAGGTGTCCCATAAGCACGAGCACCGAAACTGAATTAATGTAACGAAATATCTAACGCACATAGATTCCAGGGTTGGCAAACTGGCCACGGTTACCCTAAAATTGCGTTTTAGATATGTATCTGTTTGGTCAGAAGCCAACTCCCCTGTACCAGACGATACACGTCCTGTTAAATTGATGATGATTGTACAATTCTTATCCAGGAAATTTCGATCCTCGATGAAATCATCCTAAATAGATGCGATTAGGAAGGGAAATGCATTTGACGAGTAATTGTACTCGCTAACGATACACCTTCGGCATCCTCCTCTGTCTCGGAGTTACGTCAGGGTTAAAACTCGAGTTCTGACAACCGTATTAATTATTAGACCGCGTAGCTACCCTAAGTTGTCAACGTAGCCGAGTAATTTTGATGGTCGTTAACATTCGCGCACGAACACGTGTACGTATAACCGGTGTACGTGGCGCAACTTTATTCAAAGTTCCACCGTGATTATGACAATGTTTTGAACAGGGAACTTATCGTGCGCAAAATACAAGCACTTGCGTCTTAGCCGGTGACAACAATTAACGCCGTTAGGGGTCTACTCGCGTTCATTAACGATCTTCCAGTCATGTGCAGGCCTTGGACCGAACTTCCAACTTCCTGTCACGCTTCTGATGTTTCCTCACAGTCGATAAATAACATTTCTTAAATTCCCTGATTTAAACAGAAGAACGTTGGAATCATAAGTTCGTCTGATTTCTTTCAAGTAAACTGTGATTCGATTTCTCCACAGTTTCCTCTGATGTGCTGAACTCTGCTCAAACCTTTGCGCCATACTCCGATGCTGAAAAGAGGGGTAGGAGTGGTTTCGGGAAAGGGGTAGTTTGACGAGGGCGAGAGGAGGGTGCAAACCATAAAGCGTCGCTACTGGTCGCAGCCCCAGTAGTAAGCGTTGCGACGTCTGTCGAGAATGCAGCATGCAGCGTCTCCTTGCGTGAAGATCGACACGTGGTTGTTTGAACAACGAATTGATTACGAATTGATATTAAAAAATAGTATCAATCTTCCGATCTTCACATATTTATACATATAACACTTTCGAGTGATAGGAAATTTAAAAAAAGAACTTCAAGTGAGTGCTCGCGTGACTTTGTCGTGTAATGTGATTTGTTAGAACCAGTGCTAACATGCTCGCAAGGATTGATCGCAAGTAAGTTTTTTAACGTTTGGAGGAAATTATGCTCGGATCAGATTGTTTTATTTCGCGTTCCTCCGCATACTTAAGAATTTTATTTCCGCCGGCGAATTATGCACCCCTGGCCACAATTAAGGCCCGCGCCGGATAAACGATAGTACAAGAGGTCGAGTACGGTTTAAAAGGGATTTCGTGTAAGCATGCAACGTAATCGCCGAAAGAGTGGTCCAAGTTTTCCCACGGGAAGTCGTAATAGTAATAAGCGTCAAACGAAAAGTTCTCAAATTATAAATAACAGTCCTGGTATTGTTTAAGTTCGGTCGTTTTTTAGATTTGGGAAAATGAGGACCGTCTCGAAAAGTTTCATTTATTATATCTGTTTACTACAGCTTCTTTTTATTGTACTTGTTTTTGCCGAGAGAAATTGCTTAATTATCGCTTCTTGGTGCGCGGCCGGCATTAGAAAAAGGCGCGATAATTTCTATCGAGTAATTTGTACAATAGCGTGGTCAAGCGGTAACGAATCTCACCCCTCCAATGTAATTACGCGGACGCCGTAACTCAGTAAAGGTGAAGTACACGTAAAAGGGGTTCCGTGTAAGCGCGGGGCGTAATCATCCGAAGAATGAGTTAGGTAACTCGAGAAATCCGCACGTAAGCCTCGCGAGTAAAAAGCGCGATGAATTGCGAGAACTTGCGAGCTCGTTCTCGTGACTTTTTCTCTTGAATTATAGCGATCGCGGGGGAAAAGTAGAGGGTGTATTCGCGTCACGTGAACGCGAGCTTTTTCTCCCCTTCATTTCAGAGCTTCTTTATTTCAAGAACAAATAAATATACCGCAAAATGATCAGAAACAATTGGAGCTACAAATGAAAATTGAAGAGAACGAAGAATCGATTCTCACGTCAGCTTCATCGGAGAAAAAATTGTCGGCATACATTTTTAACATTGAAAAGACTTCCATACTTCAAGTATCAAATTAGTCGACTTCTTGAGCTCGAGTCGTGGTCAAATTTTTAAATCCCAGCGTATCGTATGACAAAATATCCATGCGAAGATATTATTTTCAATTGTACAAAGCGAAATTCTCGTCCTTATATCGTAACGTTACAATTTTACTTGGATACATGCGAGCGGATGGCATATTGCGTATTCAACGTTTGCTTGACATTCTTCAACTTTGTTATCTCTTCTTATCTTCCTTGCATATCTCTTTGTGTGCATCAAATGTGTCCGTATGGATCTCTTCAATCTCTTTTCAGTTAGTTACATCAGGGAATCATAAAAGAGAAAAGAAACAGCCGAGGCATTGTTATAAATTATTACTGAGTAAACGTGATCTGTTCGCAGCGTTTCATGGAAAATTAAGGGGTTACACGGGACGGATCAAAAGGTGTTGAAATAAATTTTCTATCGACCGTGCTGCGTACAGAGGGAATAAATTATTTTGACGAACCTTTGAAAACGCAGTCCAGTGAGATCCATTCGTGAAACACGAGGATGTCCTGCGAGAAGGCGTCACGGCGCCTCAGATTCTTGCTGAGCAGAGCCAAGAGATTGGGTCTGGCCGTCGACGAGGTAGCCGAGCTGCCGGGGGCGAAAAAATTGCTATCCGCCCGGGTCACTTCGACCTCATGGACCGTCCTCGCCATAATCAGTCTGATCCTCGGAGGCGGAGTGATACTCGCGTTCCTTTGCGCTCCCTGCGTCGCCAGGAGCAGAATTTGAATCTGTAATTTACCGAGGCGATTTATCAATACCGATTTAATCCGCTGGTATAATTAATCGGCGATTTAATTGTGCCAATTATTTGCCGAATGTCGTAATTATTTTAATTACTGTTGCAGTGTATTCAGTCGTAACAGAGGAATGTGCGGATTAGATGATTTATTGAAATGACGATGCATATGAATGAGGCTAAACGTACAAAAGGTATAAATGTATAAATGTTAAATGTATAATTTCGTGATTTTCTTATTAGAGTTCCTTTGTAGGTGTGTCTGAAATTTTGTACGGTGTATATATAGTTTCGTATACGTACTGCGAAGGAGGATTGACAGATTTCGTACAACTATTGGTTCAAAGAAGTGTTTTATAATCCGCCAGCGAGGTTTCCGTGCACGTTCTAGGAGCTTATTTGTAAGGGAATAAGGTTTGTTCTTAGCTTGATAGTTCGGTGATAGTTTTGTTTGAACTTCGAATGAACTAACGTGACCGATTCGAAATCACGATTTTCCGTAGAAATTTTAATTATATCTTATGTGTTTCAGATTAAACTTCGTCTGTCCTCCGATTGTAAAAATTAGAAAAATATTTTGAAACTCGACTTGCGTAAATATGAATATGATATACGTAGAATGGCTGTAACTCTTAGTAATCTTAAAAGAACTCGAAAATGAAGCAGGTAAATAAAAATGATGGTAGCATCGATGTAAGAGTAGACATGATAATCGATAAATTGATTTCATTGACATTGGACTTGGAAGAATTCGAAGTTGAACAAAAGGGGTCGTAGATCTTTCATTTTAGATTGACAGTCAAAACTATTTTTTTAAAAAGGTCCAGAATCATCTCGTTTTAATATACACTTTTATTACATATTTACAAATAAGTTCATCGTGTAAATAGCATTTAAAAACAGTTTGTATAATGATTAATAAAAAACATTGTTAAAAATACAATAGAAAAAATACAATTAAATTAAAGCATAGAATTTAAGCGTACGCGAACGTAATGACGATAATTCAACCCTCGTCCTCCCGACGAGCCCTTGCGAAACCACGTTAGAGTCGCTCTTTAAAGTTAGATGTAAATGTCAATTATAAACATGAATAAACAATTATAAAATATCTCATGTATTTTAATCGTATTCTCTTTTTACAGTAGACGTTTTACGCTTTATAGTACATCATCGTTTACGAACATATCGATGTATTACTACGTGAAACTTAAATCGGAGAAGGGAAAATTAGAATTTATATTATTTATATTAAGCCATGTAAATACATATTACAAATAACATGTACACACGTATATGTCAGGGTGGTCCTTCTTGCTCTCCGAAGTTCGACTATATTTTACGTATCGTTTCCCAAGGGCCACCCTAATATACAGATATCATATACGGGGCGTACGTCGTAATTACATCTACGATTCCTTGAACGATTGGAATTTATTCGATAAGAATTGAGTTTTAAGATACTTTCAAAGGAAACCGGAAGGAGAAGTTCGTTTATCATTTTTAATTAAATAAAACGCTAGCCTACTTCTGACCATTCGGAAATTGTTCCACGATTTACACCCCGTATAACGAGTTTAATATTATCATGCTAGTTTTGGTTAATCAGTTGTATTTGATTCGTTAATCGGCGTGGTAACGTGTATTAAACTTAATGACTCGATAAAATAATTTGTAAAATTAATACTGAACCGTTCTCGCGGAATTTGTTGCATGGTACCACCGATGTCTATATAACACTGGATAGTGTGCATATTAACGATGATGCGAAACTTTTAATGCAATTAACAGTAGGCCTGTGACATTCTTGTGTAGATCTTCGCATTTTTATTCCACGTGCATGATACTTGACCAAAGAACCGATCCTTAGGGTGGGAAGTGGAGATAGGGAATGACTGAGTCGACAGAGGAAGTCAAGGCGAAAAAAATTGTTTTTGACTCATCCCGATATCTCAGTCCGTTCCGGAGATACAAGCTTCCAAAGTTTCGGCGCAGCGTTTGGCACAATGACCTAGTTACGCGTTTCACAATCAGTTAGGCGTCTAGACCGGTTGGTGGAGATTGAAGCAGGTCCGGGAGTCGGTCAACGTGCAAGTAAAAAAACGGCGCTGAAAAACTTGTAGTTTTTTCGGGGTACGGTTTTTCAAGCAGGAGACTTCCCGCTTCGACTATCGGAAGTTGTCATCTGTTTTTTTTTGGGTTTTTTTTGCTGCGAAGGTTTTTGTCGAGCGTTCACGTTTTTTCCTTTCTCCTGACCCTACTGTGCCGAAGTAACAAGATCCGCGGCCGAACTACTGATCGAAACCGATAACGTACACAGCGACGGAATGCTATGTATCCGAAGTGTCTCGTGTCTGGAGCAAGCGTGGGAAAGACCGCAGGTATATACAAGGTGAACCAAGAATCGTGGTCAATAGAGATTACTCTGTTATTAGCAGACCGATCGAAAATGTTTGTCACCTTCTACTACCATCAGAACTGCTAATAACAAAATAATTTCTACTCATCACTGATTCATGATTCATATTATAGTTTCGTAACGAACCAATCCAACTATCCAATGTTCTACAGAGATCAGTGCACAGTATTCACTGGCATTACAAATGAAAGTTGTATGTGGATTTGTAAATAAGTTCCACCTATTATGTACATCTAAATTTCGTTGTCTGCGAACTTCAATTTCGTTCTAATGGCATACGACAATTTTAGACTGAATCTTGAATTCTTAATATATCTTAAGGATGTATTGGCTATATAGTCAATCCCAAAAGTTTATGTACCTTAGAAAAACGCATGTCCTATAA